GGGTTGCAAAACTGTTAAAGACCTTGCTGTAAGGTTCAGAGCACAAGTTCAACATCCCTTATCTGGAAATCTGCAATCCAAAATGCTTCAGAATTGAAAATATTTTCAGGCTGACATACACAACAAGTGCATAATTCCCCCCTGACCTCATGTGTGGTGTTGCAATCAAAACACACGCACACAGCACAGTTTATTCAGTGTCTCCAAGACAGAAAAAAACCTTTGTAGCCCCTTCAGCTCCAATACACAAAATTTGTTTCATGCACAAAATTATTAAAAATATTGGGTGAGATTAACTTCAGGTATTATGTATAAACTGCATATGAAACATAAATGAATTTTTTGTTTAGACTTGGGTTCCAGGTCCCAGAAACCACATTACATACATGCAAATATTCCAAAAATCAGAAACTGAAGTCAAAACACTTCTTATTCCAAGCATTTCAGGTAAACAATCCTCAACTTGCATTATGCATAGAAATAACAGGTCAACAGAAGTTACTACAAAAGGGCAGTGTAAATAAAATAACAATGGGAGAGTCATGCAGTAATTGTTTATATTTGACTAAGAATAATGAAGCATGTAGAACAACAAAGTCTCCCTTGGGACTCTGAATTAATATGAAATGCCCATTAGCTAAACTGATGTCCTTTCAGAAGCAGATCATGTTTCTTTGAAATGAATTAGCTGAAAGCAAGGCTGTCCTCTGGAGTCTAAGGTCCAAGAACAAATACGTTATCACAAATACAATATTATAACATCATCTCTGTTTACAGTAAACACAGACAATCAAAACTATACTATCAAAGGAAGTACATCTGACCCATGCGAACTTGAGACTTCACTTCCAGGAAGTGGTTCATGATGCCATACTACACTTCAGCAGCCAGAACTTGTTTCACACATCTGTCTTCAATCTCAAGTTGCTATGGAGTTTAAGGACCCAGAAAATTCTACAATGTCTTTGAGTTTTTGAAAGGTGACTGATGTTTAGTGAACTTAGAGAAAGGAGAGTGGAGGTTAGAAATGACCTTGAAGACTCTGTCCTAGCTTATTGATCCCTTAACAATCCAAGGAAGACAGACGGCCACAAAGATGCTGTTAGAGGCATGAGAGAGCCAGCACTTCTCCCTGTACACTTCATTAGAGCATCCTGTCCCTTTTCAGTTTATGAGCACCTTCAATCAGCCCTGAAGAAGTTATTATATTCTTTCCTGGATCTTGAATCAGCAATAGAAGACCTCAGGTTTCCAAACAGTCCTGTAGAGGTACGTTGGCCTTCACCACAGAGGAAAATGACTTAAAGAAGGAAAGGTTTATTGTGGCTCACGGTTTCAGTCCACAGTTAACAGCTCCAAGGTGGAAGCATCATGGTGGAAAGGTGTGATGGAGAAAAGTTGCTCAGTTTATGGCTGTCCAGGAACAGAGACAGCAAGGAAGGGTCAGGAAGCAGACAGAGATAGAATCTGAGGGAAAGGGGTCAATGACAGGATATGTCCTCAAGGTCATGCCCCCCCATGAAACACTCCCTTCAACTAGACCCCACCTCTTAAATTTCCATGATCATCCAATAATGCCATAAAATTAGGGTTAGGGTCAGTGGATTAATCCATTAATGAAATCAGAGCCCTCATGATCTGATGACTGTCTGAAAGCCCTACTTTCAAACAAAGGGATATATGTAGATCTAAACCATAGCAGGAAGTAAGGAGATATCATTTTGAAGAAAAGAATTTCAAACATGTCAAAGAGTCCATTTTATTTCTATTTAACTGATCTTCCCCAAGATAAAAAGAAAAATATAATCACAAGGGATATACACAATCAAAATATACAAGAGTAGAGCTACATGGGATTGTAGATATTGCAACGATAACTTTTTTTGGATTTCCCTTAACTTTCAGTCTTAATACTGTCATTTTTATTCAGATAAGAGAAATGACCTTTAGAAATCACGGACATCGCAAATGGCATTTAAGGAAAATAACCACAAGATGTTAAAAAAAAAAAAAACTCAGCAAAATAATTCTTTCAAATAATGAAGAATCTTATGCTGAATTGGTATTAAAGAGAATGTTGTTCGGTGGGAATAAGAAAGATTTGCTTCTAGTACTTTAACCTTGACAACATCATTCAAAATTGCTGGGCCTGTTTTCCCAGTGACAAGGCTAGACCAGATACGAAGCATCTGAGAGGCTCTGTGAGCCACCAGGAATGCATAATCTTCCCCATGTTTTCATCTATATAATATACTGAAGTTAAGGGGAATAAAAACAAAAAGCAAAGTGAGATGATTTTAAAGGTCCTTGATGATTCTATGGTTCTATAGTCCTCTCTTTAAACCCAGGAATGTGTTGGATAAAATATTTCCACCAGTTCCTGAACAACTATAGGGGGTGCTATTTATCCAAAGACATTGCAATGCTGTTTCCTGGAGTATATCACTCAGTATCTCTACAACAGATGCTTTTAGAGCTGACTGAACCTGTTGTTGGAATCTTATCTCAACTATCTAGCAATATAACCCTCAGCAAGTTATTTAATAATCTCTCTGATCCTGTTTCTTCCTTCTCTGTAAGATGGAGATAACAAATTGTTTTTCCAAAGGCGGTTTTAAAAACTAGGATAACATGTGTAGAGTTTGGTGGAGGGCAGCATACTAATACCAACATTAGTCCTCTAAAATCACAAAACTCAATTTTACAGTATGAGTCGTATCTAGAATTTACTGCCCAAGAGTAACAGATACCAAATGATTCTGTGAAGTTAGAAATGGATTTCATCTTCTGTAGATGGGGCAGTTATGCAGAATTTGAAGGGGTCAGAATTTAGGGATCCCCAAAACACATTGTTTTTAAGTGTCAGAACTGGGATAACTGGAAAAAAGGAAGACTAATCAGCATATTAATGCACTAGGGTGTGTTGGTACAACTGTTACCAAGGCTAAGCAACGATTTAAATAAGACAATGGCATTTATTAGACATGTGCTGTCAATAAATTACAACATGGTTACTATAAGCTTTCTTCTTTTCCCTTCCTTAGGAATCCAGAGCTAGTATCTATTTAACTGCACTAAAGCCTTTATTTAGTTCCTTAAGTTAAAAAAAATAAACCCACTCAATAAAATATGAAGGAATTTCATGTACTCAAAATGATAGATCTAAAGGAGACTATAGATACCATTAACTTTAGCCTCCACAGGTTGTACCTGGGAAACTGGCCCAGAGAAGATTAAAAAACAATACCTATAGTCACAATAGGCAAAGCCAATTTTGATATTTTAACTCATTAATTTATCCCTTTTCTAGCTATAGGAAAGCAATCTTTAGCTTTATCCAGTTACATGCCAGTAATTTAACATTATGGGTTCCCATCTCAACTCTAAATCATTTGAGGTTCATTAGGCAATGGAGTCTCCACAGGACTGGGTCAATGACTCAGAGAATCAGCTTGGTGTGACTTGTGGGAAGGTCTGAGGATATTCAAGGAGGTAAATGAAGAACAAGTTAGAAATACCCCACTTCCTATGGAACTGGGTTGGCTCTCAGCCACTCTGCTCTTAGGATGGACCACGAAGTAGAGTGCTCAGGGAAGGTGTTTTCAAGAGCAATAAAAAAGTCAAATCTATAAAGGCACAGTATTTTTAGAGGTGCTATCCATGTCGAGTACTGGCCACAGTGACAATGACAAAAAGTGTTTCTCAGTAGGAACTTAAGAGCAAGAAAGCAACCTAATGTTAGACTGGAAGAGAACTCTCCATCTAATGAGGCATGAGGAAAAGCTGAGTTTCTGCTCAACCTTCTATACAGAGAAATGAACCATCAGTACTCCTAAGCCTGGTGCCCTTCAAATCCTTACCAAATTGTTAAAGCTGAAGTTTCAAAATAGGGTTTATTTGAAGACCAGTTGTGGCTTAGACCTGATAGAGTGCTATATCTCATTATATTTCCCACAGAACTCAATGTTTAATATTTTCTTTCCTTTAAACATTTGTTTTCCACTTTTATACCACAGGAAGTGGTCACTTTGAAGATAATATGCACCACTAATCACCTCCTATTTTTCTGAGACTAAATCTAAAAGCTATAATAAAAGACTGCATCTGAGCCTGAGAAAGACTTTTCTAGGTTCTTAAAATGTAAAATAATTTCATGAACAATAATGAAGAACTGGACAGTATTTTGTCCATACAAGCTCTAGCAGACAAGCGGCAAAGTGACATTGTGCACATTAGTTGCTCAGATAGAATACTGGATTCTATTCCATATTAATATACAAGATATATAAAGTCAAGGGGAAGACACAATGTTTCTCATGTAACCTTGATTTAAAATTTGATTAAGGTAAAGTTGGTGCATTTAAAAAATGTATTTCAAAACACGAAAACAGGTCAGTGAAAAGACCAATGATATAAAAAATCTTCCCTACTCACAGAGTGATTGCCAAGGCTTTTACATTTTTAGCAGTTTGGATTCCCTAAAAAGATATTCCAAATGTGAAAGCACCATTATATTGCTTGTGCTGGTGCCCACCCCATTACACAGGCTCATAACACTCATTCTAACTGATCTCTGTGCATCACTTACGGAATAAACGTGAGATTGGCCGTGATTTGAAAGAAAGGGACAGCATTTGCTGTTTTTATACGAGTATTTATAAAATATCTTCAGAAATAATAGGAAAAAACAACCCAGAAAACGGTTCTGTAATGACATTATTGAAAAGGTACAAAAGAAACCAAACTGAAAGATTGTTCTAATAAAGGGGAGGAACTTTTCTGATAGGACAAATAATCTTAGCTAAACGGCTACTTCCTATAAAAAAAAAAAAAATGTTTGTCATAAGCGTGAAAACATGCCACTGTGTCTAGACTTAGCATACAATTAACTCCCTGGAATGCATTTTTTGTTTTAAATTATGTTACTGAACATTTAACTTTTCATATAAAAGTGAGTCTGAGGAAAGAAAATGACTAATGTCATAGAAGTGTCCACTCACCTCCCATAATTTTGGATTGGCAGTTAATAAACTCTGGCTTTCTGTCTGTGAGGTACCGCTGGCAGGTGTGGTGGAGGATCTGGAAGAAGGTACACTTCTCTGAGGCTGTGCTCGCTACCCACTGGTCAAAAGCATTTTCAAACAACAAATCAAATTCTGCAGAATCCTGGAAAAGATGTTGAAATAAATACTGATCTCAATCTACCAAAACTACTGCTTCCAGCTTTTCCCATTAAAACATGCATAAAGACTAAAGGACCTTGGTAACAATAAGGCTCATTTAAAAAACTTGTTTATCAAGCAAAATCCAAATCTTAGAGAATTTATAGATGTCCCTAGGAGGCTAGAATCATAGAAGTTGAGACTGCCTAACTGCATACTGACTTACATTAGAATTCACGCCATGTATTATCTTACTTAGAAAAAGATTCCTTCACAGTCTCAGCAATGACCTCTATTAATCTTGCCTCTAAACTTTGATAGGAAAAGATTTTCTCGTATTATTTTAGTATATGGTAACAATTTACATTTTATTATTCTTCATTATTAAAACGGTGGTGGTGGCGGGGAGAGAGACAAAGAGAGGGAGAGAGAAGCAGAGAACTCAAAAGGGAATGAGGGACTGGGTACTTTGAATAGATAACTATATTATCTCTACTGTTTTATCGAAGAATTATTTTCTTATTCCCTATAATGGTTTGAGCAATCTTCCATTTTTACATCTGGTAATCTGAGCAATGTAGTTGAGGACAGTGATATGTAATGTAACAATCACTATTGATTTGTATTATTTTGTCTTGAGACCCTGTATCCCTTTGAATGTTCTTGCTTTGATTTGTTTATGTTCGTGATACTGGTATGCTGCTACTGTTCTATTTCTTTGTTTGTTTGTTTCTCATTTACTATTCTCTTTAAAATAAAAAAAATCAATAGAATTCTAATACATGATTTTTAAGGCACCATTAATTTACTTGATTTTTGGTAGAATAATCTTTGTCATTAGTGGTATTAGGTGATAAATGAACCTTTCATGAATATGATGTCTTAATATTGATGACCATGCACATGATTATCTGAACTCTGGCCTTTGTTGTTAAACATTATTGGAGGCAGTATTTCTTCCATATACATCACCTTAGGTTCCTCTATCAAACATAATTAAAAGATTTGTAATTTTCTATAGGAAGGGAACAGATATCAGAAAGGGCTGGTCATATAACTAAAATAGAGAAATAGCTTTACGTATGATTCAAAGAACCACCACACTACCAAGGTGAATCACAGAGTCATCTTGTAAAAAAATTCTTCATTCAGCATTTGATAATCCACTCACCCGATTAGGATCAATACCATTAACCTGGCGAAGCTGCTCAAGCATCCACTGTGATCTCCGAACGAATGACGTGGAACCTTCAAACTGCTTGACCTTCGTGATAGATGCCTGTGTGGGTTTCTTGTTTGTCACTGCCAAGAAAAGACCACTCTGATTAGTGGGTCTGCAGGTTGGTTTATTTACTCATTCAACACCTACTGTGCACAAGCCCAGTGAGATACACAGGGAGAGGGGCAGAATGTGAATGAATACATGTGTGCCTCTGGTGAGGGATGAGTGAACGCAAAAGAAATAGAAGTCATAATCTCTCTTCTCAGGCAGTTTATAATATTATTGTGAGAGCTGCTCTATTTAAATCTTTATCCCATTAAATGACTTAACTGAATGAATAACACCAAGCACCTTTAGTGGAAACTACAAGGGCACAATTACAGCTTGTAGGGAAAGCAGCATACGCGGCTGACAGGCACAAGGCAGGAAACGTGAGGAGGGATGAACTTTAAGGGAAATTAAGGGTCCTGGCCTCCTCAGGGACCTGCAGTGACTGTTTCCAGTTTTACAATCCAGTAGAAGTACCGGAGGCTTCAATGATAATGAGTAATACCTCACCCCAAAGAAATAAACAAATATTTTAAAATTTGAAGGTAACAATATGCAATAGAACAACCATTGTGAATTTCCTACCATCTTGTTTTGAAATTCTGCATCGTTTTTATTGTTTTGTGTTGTTTTATTTTTGTCTTTGTTGTTATTTTTTTCTCTTTAAAATGAAAAAAGAATTTAAAAATGAACTATTTGGCTTTGCAAGGCTATGCAGTTTGTTATATAGTTTACATGTGATTAGGGCTGTACCTGGCATTCTGGGTATAAACCTCTCATGTGAGTTCCTGTCATCATTACACCTGTAGGACCAGGACAATCATTACCCCAGTCTTGAAGCAGCACCTCTCAAGCACCAGAGAGAAGCATCTGGACATTTCTACTTCCCCTTACTTTGTGATTTAAAGAGTCAGGGATGGCAAGATTATGAATTAGGGTCTTAAAAGGGCCTTCCGCAAAGCTCCCCCTGAGTCCTGGATGTAGAAGTTAGTGTGATTAAATAGCAGTGATGACATGAACGATCTCGGGAAAGCATCACATGGGGCAAACAGTTCAGTCCTAGTCACTGCCTTATGGCAGACCATGCATCCATTTGATAGGAATTCTTTATTTTTAATAACTATGTAGATGCTCAACAGATGGCAAAAGAACTCTTGTGGGATGAGGGACAGAAGGCACTTGCTCTAATCATCTGTGGTGATAACAGAACTATGGTTCATGCATTCTATAGCTTGTTTGCAGTTCTGGTGTCCGGGGTCACTGCAATTGGAGAGCAGAGACCAAGAAAAGAAAATGAAAAGTGGTTTGCACACACACCATTCTGCTTGTGCAGATGGAGGTTACCTTACAGTCCCCACTCAGAAGATTGCCTTTATGGCCAGTAATCTTTTGCTCTTTACCAGAATCTATGAAACACTTTTTAAAAAAAGCTTTAAAAATTAGTGCTTTAGGTTACTGCCCATAATTTTAGTTGTATTTGGTTAAAAGCCCCCAATGTCTCCCACCAATTGCACTTACTCTTGTGGCTAAAAACCTATCATCTCCTTCATACTTATGATCAGAGGAAATTTTTGCTCTTCTATCACAAATAGGTTGTCTTACCAGGCTTCAGGCCTGTTATATTCCATTAGGAATAACTGTTCCTCTAAATAAGTCAGCCAATCTTATCAGTGTGCCCAGGGCTCTGTCCATCCATTTAATTTGATTAATTTATTTTTGTGTCTCCTATGGGGCAAAGGGCAGATCTAGTAGATTTCTCTGATAGTTGTGTCCTGCTCTTGTGTTTTCATGTTAAAGTAAACAACATACCTGGGATATATGTAGGCCCTAAAATGTGCTCAAAAGATTAAAGAATGCTTTTCAATACCAGGAAAACATGGGTTCCTGTATTAGACACACACCCCTAAACATACAAAGAAGATTTCCTCTCATTTATGTAAATCATGTGACATTTAAGCATCCTGGGAAACTTGAAGGCTTTCCTTCCAACTCTAGTTAAAGTTTTACCAACTACTGTTTTTATTTCTGGTCTATTTGTTTCCAAGTTGTTCACAGCGTTATAAAAACTCAAACACAATGCAGAGTCACTGTATATTCCTGGTATGTTTAAGATTTCACGTTGCAGGAAGGCAAACTCCATTGGAAGTTTGTCATTAAAATCCGGCAGGCAGGAACCCCACCCACAATGACAAATGTCCACAGAGAATTCCTGAGTAGCTATTACACTATAAAGTGGTCATTTATAAATGACAGTTAACAATTCTATTCATTCCTGTCTTTTTTCTCTATTAGTTTATTCCTTGCCTAATTCTTGGAGTCTAACTAGTTTTCCTGGGCACTGAGCCCAGTTTGGTTAATTTTTGTTTATTGTTATTATCTCCAACATCAATTTTCTATTTTGAAGTAGGTGCCTTAAAATTATATTATTACATACACATTATAAAGAATTAAATAAGGACCTTTCCCTCTGAAATCAAAACACTTTCATGAATATATCTAGAAATTTTGAGTACCACACCTAAAGGAAATATAGTTCAACATCTTTGTTTGGCACTTTTGGGGCCCACAGCTGATAAAAAAAAATAAGTCACTCAAATTTCAGGTGTCTAGTGAAAAACTAATTTACCTTTACTTCTGAAAGAAAGCTAATTGAAAGCACATCCTAGAAATTGTAGCCTAATTACCTAGATCAGTGATATCATAGGGTTATATATCCATCTATTCTCATATTATAGATTTCCAAATCCATTATTCTTAATAACTTTAAACACTAGATGATCAAGATATTGGTATTGTTCTTTCAACAATGACAAGGCAAAGACCTATATATGGGTTTGGAAAAGGGAAGGGTGAGCATAACACTGCCAGGAATGCTGCAGGACACTCAAAATCAGCCCATTCTCTTGGTTCTGTACTCTGACCTCATATCACAGTCCTTTGGCAGGGTCTACAGTAAATACAGTGAGCTGAATGAATTGGAAACTCTGAAGACATGGCCTTGGCATCCATATTTTAAATCTTCCCAGTGACCTTGAGGCACACTAACTGCCAGAAACCACGGAACTTAGGTATTTATTCTTTCACCGAACATTTATGGGACACACAGGTTTTGTGACAATTTGAACTCTGATGAACTGAATTCTGAATCAATAACTTGGAGGGGGAGGGGGGGAGGGGGAAAGAATTATATAGTAGAGCAATACAGTATAACAGGAGGATAACTGGTATATAAGTTTCCTGACATATTGGTGTGGGGGTTTTTTATGGACTGAGATAGAGTTGAGGAAAGTCAGGGAGGCTTCCTGAAGCAACCACATCTCAGGCAACACATCATCAACCACAGTGTGAGCGTCAAGAATTTTCCCCAACCTGGCCTGTTGACTGGCTTGTCCACTCAAACCTAAATACAAAGGACTGAAATACCATTTCAAATAGTCAGTGTATTCCCAAAGCATTTAGAATAAGGTGCAAATCCTTAAACACAACCTGCAAAGCCTGGGTGATCTGGCTCTTGTTACCTCTCCTAGCTCATCTCATTCCATTCTCTTTTTTGTCTATCAAGCTCCAATCGTATTTTGCTCTTGGAAAAGAGCAATTCTTTCCACTTCAGCCTCTGCACATGCTGTTCCCTTTATAGAAATGCTTTTTCTGTTGTTTTCTCATGGTTATCTCTTGTTCACTACTCAGATTTCAGCTTACAGATCAACTTCACTCAAAAACATTTTTGTGATCACTTTATCCAACAAGATTCCACCAGCATGCTATTTCCTTTACTGACCAAGGTTCATTGCAAAAGCAAGCTTATTTCAAGCCCACATAAAATATTAGATGTTTGCTTCCCTTGGGTGAAGAACAATAATCAGACAGGTATCATGTCTCCCAGTGGACAAAGATAATGTTGGATAAATCCATACACAGATCTTCTAAGGTACTTCTCACCAACTTGCAATGTAGTGTCCCAAAAATTGACATACTTTTTAAAACAGCATTTAAATTAAAAAAAAAATCTTTTAACAACTTCCAGCTTTCTTTCTTGAGACTGAAAATATCTCCCTGATAGGGACAGAATTATTGCTGTTATCTTTCCATCATTTTATAGACAAGGAAACTGAGGCCCAGGAAGAGCTGACTTGCTAATGTCACACTGCGAATAGGAAAATTGCAAATGAAATGATGAACTTCCAGTCCATCATTCTTTCTACTATATATATATATATATATATATATATATATTTTTTTTTTTTTTTTTTTTTTTTTTTTTTTTTTTTGGTACTGGGAATCAAACTCATGACCTCAGCCTTGCCAGACAAGTGCTTATGCCACTGAGCTACGTTCCTGGCCCTCTACTATAAATTTTTGCTGCAGTGTCAAACATCACATTTTATTGGGCATGAGATCCTTATTAAATAAGGATTAACTGAATTATATCTTTCTAATAATGATACTACTACTGTGTGTTTTATAGCTTCCTGAATTATTTCCTTAATATTCCCCTTTAAATAAACTGTTTTTTTACTTAGGTTAATGAAAAACAAGATATACTTATGTCATAAATAGATAAACAGCTTTGCCTGCCTGAAATAGAAAATAATAAAAATACAGTTAAGGGTTTGGCATCCGAGGTTCACTATTTGGTAAATTGGGTGATTAGCAGGTGGAGATAGGTGTTAAAGACAGTCACACACAGATGTTCTCTTATATGTACTAAAATACCTTCATTGGAAATGGTATCTCTAGGACTGCTGTGTTGCTCATACTGGGACTCTCTTGATAAGTCAAGGTGTCACATTATCCAAGCTTAATGCTCCCCTTTCCCTTACTCCCCTTCCTAGTAGCCTCTACTTCTTGTACTCTAATAGGAGGCAAGCAGAAACATGGAAGGAGTCAAACCCAAGGTGTTTTGCTCTAACACATCCTGAAAAGGAAATGTGGTTTTCATAGATTTATGCTACCTCTATGGCTTGATCCTACATCTCAGCTATAGTTGAGAAACAACACTATACACTATTATGTCCAGAGTATCATTATTATC